AGCACGAACAAATCGTGACCTCAAGCCTGAACATCTCCAACAAAAGCGCGAATGCCTTGAGGTCAGCCTGACATGTTGAGCTCCTTCACCTGGATCCTTATTTGCCATGATACTAGCTAGCTGCTTCTATTGCAGGACCAAAGTTGGAGAACTCAAACCAGATGCACCTACTGGGATGAAGACTGTCACCCCTGGTGTGGACTTGAGCCAGTGTCCACCTCCACCGGTGCCGCAACCCAAACACCCAAAGCCAGCGCCAGAAACCATTCAGCCAGAGGGTAAGCCTAAGCCTAAGCCTACACCAAAGCCAAAAGCGGCACAGGAAAAAACACCCCTGCAGCTGGCAAAGAAGGAAATGTCGATCGCGAGCTTAAACATAACGGAATGCAAGTCATGGAAAGCAAAGCTTGGTGCTGACCCAAACATGTCCTCAACTTATCTACCTTGCAACATGAGCATGCAAAACATGTCGGTTGAAAACTATGTTGCATTGGTATGTGTTGTTCTGCTTTGAGGCCACAAAATTTTCTGGATGTATTGCTTAAAGATATGCAACCACTTCAACTCGAGTTGACAAGCGCGCGAGAAACACTGGAGGCACCCGAATTATAACCGAGTCACGCATTTTAGTGACATGCTATATAATATGTATTTAATATATATTTGCTCTCTGGAAGGCTGCTGTTGCGGGCAACGCTGACGGTGAGCAATTGAACCATGCGACCACTGCTATGCGTGTGGTCAATGAGAAGTACAAGGGGGTGTCCCTACATTGCCGAAAGCATTTGCCTAAGGCCAAAAGCAGTGCCAAGGCAAAAAGTAAAGCAGCTGCAGCACCCCCTGCAGCAAAGTAGATTGAGGCTTTGGTTTTCCAATATGCCGTTTTGACGACATGAGTCATGGTGGGGCTGAGCCTGGATAGAACCTTGCAGGGGTTATCGTGCATGCGCGCTGTTTTCCACAAAGAGGAGTTTCATGGAGACCACACAATTTTCTGGTGCTTTGGCACATTCCATGAATCATTGAACAAAACTTGCACATTGTGGGCTCCAGTGTGCGTGCTCAAGATAGAGGGTGCAGGGACTCCTGGGCAAAGGCCCCGCTGGATCTCTAGAAGCTGAGAAAGGTTGTTGAGCACATCACTGCATTTGCATGCTGTTAGTGCAAGCTGGGAAGTGCATGCAAGACTAACCGTGCTTGTCATTCATAAACTTCATAGAAGTTTCACACAATGCCATTATAACTGTCCTCAGAACTGGGTAGGTACAGCGTTTGCAGATTTTTTGCTATGCAATGCTGGCAAAGGAGTTTCTTTCCTGCAGTTGGTGAACACCATATTTGTAAAATTGGTTTCAGTTTTTGGCATCAGGCTTCATCCCTGAAGTATGCCCAAGAAGCTGCGACAAGTGCTGTTCAGGACAGCATGTCACTAATCAATCATGGTTGCATGCAAGAAGTGTCCTTCAGGAGACGCGTGGATTTTCGCGACTCACTGGACGTTTGGCAAGACTTGGATGCGGTGGCAAGTTTGCAGGAAACATAGAACGTGATATTCATCGATTGCTCAACCTCCCATGTGAACCATACTGGGTGTCAGTGAAGGTGCGCAGTGCCAAGGGCGTCAATGAAGTGGAGCAAATGGAGCTCCCAGTGTATCTTCCCCACACAGGTACTCCAAGGTTGATCGAGATGTGCCAGAAATCAAATACTTCTGGAGACACTTTTGGGATCGTGGTTCCTTGGATCTAAATCGTGTGTGTGTCTGTGTGTGTTGTATGTCATAGTTGTCATGGCTTCAATTCTGTCTTTTGGTGCTGAGCGGGAAAACCACTGTCTTGTCATGAAATAAGGTGTGCCATGGGCATGCAAGCACCCCGCTGCCACACAGCGGGACAAGGACTTTGTGCCAGTGGGCTTATTCCATGATGAGGCAAGATACAACATGCTCGGGGACAAGGTGTTTGCTATGGTCATGAATCTGCCACTCCAAAAATTGGATGACATTGATGCTTCCAGATTTGTCCTGTTTGTTTGCCGGACTTGCCTCTTGCTTCCACATCAAAAGACTATGGAACCGATTTGGGCAGCCATAGCATGGTCCTTCAATGTCGCGTTGTCTGGGTCATGGCCCAGTGTTGATCATGAAGGAAGGCCTTTGGCTGGATGGCGTGGAAAGCGTGCTGGGCAAGCTTTGTGTGGAGGACCATTTGCCCTCACAGAGTTGAGGGGGGATTGGAAGCAATATCGAGAGACCTTTAAACTAAAGGCTCATTGGGGGGCTGTGCACATCTGCTACAGGTGCAATGCGCGGAAGACAGGCAGACCACATTTCGTTGACTTTGGACATTTTCAGCAGTTCGATAGACGGACGCATAACAACTTTGTCTTGAATGTGATTCCCAGATATGTATGTCCACTTTTGGAGGTGCAAGGGTTTCATGTTGACATGCTGCGGCACTGCAGCATGCATGTCATCAATCTAGGATTCCTTCAGTTTGCATTGGCTTCTGGAATCTTGCAGCTGATTGATCAAGGCATGTATGGCCCGCCTCCCTTGGAACATCAATGTAAACGCCTTACAGACGCTTTACGCTCCTGGAGTTATGCCAACAGAGTTCCGCAATCTCAGTGCAATATAACGCCTGGATTGCTGCATGTGAACAAGCCAGGTGAGCCTCCGTTTTTGGGATCAAAAGCATTCAACGGACGAATATGTCTTGCATTCCTTGCGGTGGTATACACTGGACACTTTCATGTCTGGCAGCAAATTCAAGATCAAAATCTGCGATGTCGGATGGAATGGAGTGCACATTACTTTTGGACACTGGGGGAGTGGTTCAACAAAGTTGAATCATTTCCGCGCTACCTAAGTGGTGAACAAGCCAGACTTCTCCGCACACTTGGTGAGCAGTCCATGGAACACTACATGCAATTGACCAGGCTATCTGCCAGAGAAGGTAGCCTTCTTTGGTCTATACGACCAAAGCATCATGTTCCTCGACAGTTTTTTGGGCAAGTTATATAGTTCAAAGCACATGAACATGTGCAAGATTGACTTTTTGTCTATGTTTGCGGTTATTTTGGTCAACTTATATTAATATTATTGTTCTGAGTAATTTACTGCGATGGTAGTTGTCTGTGCCTCCAGGTCTTCGAGCACATTCTGGATGATCAAGTCAAAGAGGAATATTCCAGCAGATTCTATCATGCATATTTGGATGAGGATTGCATGGGCAAAATTAAACAATTGTGCAAAAGAGTCCATTCAGCTGTGATGGAAATTAGAGTTCTTCAACGCTCTCTCTTGAAGCTTAAGGTATACAAGCAGAGTGCATAATTAGATCAATTGGTGCAACTGTAGTGGGTCACTGTGAGCTCAATGTGAGCCCGCAAAGTGCGTGAAATCATAATGTGCAGTTCCAGTTGCAATACTTGTGTGCTCAAATTGAGCTTCAAAGCGTGTGAAAAGGGAGTTGAGCACTCTGTTTATGGGTGCATACAGTTTACCGAAGTTTGTCGAACTAAGATTTGTCGAAAATCAGTCGAAAAAAAACACCCAGTTTGCCGAAACCGACCAAAAAACAACCAGTTTTGGTAAACCCTTGATATATGACATAGTTTGGATTGGTTGGGTATATATACAACTAATCACCTATATAATATAGAATTCATAGAATGGATCGAAATGATCGTGCATCTGGTAACTGGCTTACTGATGCTTCAATACTGGCCTTTTGCTGGACGTGTTTCGAAAGAATTTCCGCATCATTTGGGCCAATTGAGACGTTTTGCGCCAACTTCTGCGGGAACCCAGACCGGAACCGACCGGTTTCGGACGCTTTTGACATGGGACTTGGCGGCCCCAGGGCAGACCGAGTCGGAATGTGCTCAATGCACCAAGAGACATGACAAAAGACATGGTGAAAATCAGAACCTTCCATTCAAAGCACATCAACATCAAACACATGGAATGTGACATGCTGAGGTCCGTCCAGTTCATCCAAGTTGCACCCTCTGTTGGAGCCATAGCTCTGTGGCCAACTTGTTATCTGATCTCGGAGGCTTGTCAGCAGACCTGCTGCCTGTTTCCCACGCTCACGCGCCTGTTTCTTCCAAATCATCGATGTCTATGTCATCGAGCCTGCAGGAGAACCCGGCATCACCGACTTATCACAGCCATGGGCAGGGCCCCACTACTGTTAACACAAACCCCACTGGAGCTCTTCTCACCATGGGACACAGTCCCGAGTCGTCTCAAGAGAGCTTCTTCTCACCTTCAGGCAGCTGGAACCTATCCTGAGGTGCCCAGCGGCCACTTCACATCTTGGTGGTTTACACCGAGTACCCTCGAGTTATTTTTCTTTGTTGATGGGGTTCTTGCTGATGTATCCCTCTCAAACGGCTGTATGACTCAAAACGATGGATCTCCTTCCCGCCGATTTTGACATGCTTTGACCAATTGACCCCGCAGCACTTGCGCGTGACGCTCAGAAACTCCCGTCTTTCAATCAGAAACCTCCGGATACCTCCTTTCTGCTGGGGACGCTGCAAATTCGAGAGGTCTGTGATCTGGCCAGAAGCTTGAGCCTGGCAAGCTTAAGGTGCCGAAATCCGGATTCCAGCAGCAGGAGACTCCTCCCCAGGTGATGGAATCTGATGGAACAAACGTCTATTGCCACAAAAAGGGCACATGTTTGCATCAATCTGCTATGTATTACAGACACTACATTATAAAGTTATTCATATTCATGGAGATGCCTTCCTTATCCTTCCTTCAGCTTTGGCGTGTCTTGCAGGGCAGTGCCACACTTGTGACCAACTTTATCCAATGTCCTGTGCTGGGTCCAGTTCGATTGGAAATCATCGGAGCCCATATTTTTTGCTGGGCACGGTCATATCATGTCATATCTATCGTAACGATGGTGAGTCACAAGTCAAAACCCAACTCGAAACATCACCCAAGCACCATCGCGCCCGCATCGGCAGTTGTTTTTTCTGCAGGAGAATCGTCTACAAGCTGCTGTCACCACGTCTCCTCTTCACATCCTCGAGTTCCCTGCGCGGTCTCGACGTGGGGGGGAACCCCACCGTCCGCCACCGTCGGATGAGACGGTGGGCCCGGCTCCCCGGCTCGCAAGAGCGGTGGACCCGAGATCAAGGCGTCTGAAGCGGTTGGAATCGGCAAAGCGAAACGATGCGAAACGATGCGTGTCGGATGCCATTCCGTGCCACACGGATGCATTTGAACCATCTAGTCCCGATGCAAGAGATGCGAGCTGGGGTTCTGGTTCCGTTCACATGGACTGATTGAACCACGCTACCTGGCCAATACTCGATTCAACCTACAAGCATCCCTTTCTGAACTCCTTCCTCTTCTGAGCTTGTATAAACGTATTCATGGGTCAACAATGGTCAACACAGCTCTTCGTCATATTTCACTGTGGATCTCTTACTATTGACGTACCATCCCCAAGACACTAGCATACCCCGAGAGTGAAGCTGACAACCACTGGCTTGCATCCCGCAACAAAAACCTGCAAGTCTCATTTTCCAAGGAGCAAAGAGATCGAATATGATCGAACACCTTGAAATCCCGGGGATCTCCCAAACCAGGGCATCTGCCAGAACGGCTTCGGCTCGTCTCTCCGAGACACGCGTAGGGCGCATAGAGATCGCCGCGCTTCTGATAGGAGGTCGGCACCTGGTTGGGGCGAAGCTTCTCGGATCAGCCATGGTTGGCAGCAAGGCGTTTGCAAAAAATATGTAGCTTCGTTTGGTTGCAATGTTTACAGTCCACCCCACCCAAAAACATGAACTCTATGCCGACCTAACCCATTGAATCCACCAACCGCCCCAACCACCCCACAGACTACAGGTGCACCCCCCACCTGTACAGCGTCCAAGAGTCTGGCCGCCACCTTCGCGTTCTCGCGCCCGTCACCGCGCGCGGCAGTGCCGCGACGTCGTCGATCCGGTCGGCCGCGCCTGCTCGCGGATCCGGTCGGCTTCACTGGGATCCACTTCCACCACCCACACGCCCGGCTCGTGTTCCGCCTCGCGTGTGAGGCCGTTGGGCCGTTGGGAGGAAGCGAAACGACATGTCAAAGCACCGAGCTTTGGTGAAATGATGATTTAAAATCGGTTTGATTAATGGGGGGCACCTTAGTAGGATTAGTGGGGGGCACCTTAGTAGCGGTACATAAAGGTCACCCCCCTCCAAGAAGAACACTTTAATGATTCCACCTCCCTTTACATCGGTTTCGGAAATAGCCTCCACCCTGGTTTCACAGGGTTGGAACAGTAAAAAGCATCATATTGTTTTATTTGGTAATTCAAGAAAACTCTCTAAAACTCTGCTGCAGGACACGCAAGACTGCTCACAGCGCTGCAAACTAACCAAATACAAAATTCAACCATATTCAACCGCTCCTATCCCTTCGGCCATCCCTTCATGCCTACCTCCCCCTACATAATGAACTACGTATTCCATGGCGCGCCGACCCCTCAGAACCCACCCCAAACAATATCCTGTGTACCCTGTTGAAACACATCAATACGCAATATCATGTTATTATGTTTAATAAAAGAAACTATATATATATATATGTATGCTGTTCACAACCGTTTCCAGCCATGAATTTCATTCAACCAATTTCAAGCACTTTCCAACCTCTCCAAAGGATCACTTATTCCAGGGGATGCCAAGCTCTCAAACACCATGTAGATCCACAAATATGCATGTTTGAAGGTTCCATGGAATTGCAATGATGTTCTAGCCTTCCAGCAATGGTGTAATTTACTATTCCAGGGGGGGTGGTAACATATACGTCAGGCCCAGGCCTCCATACAAAAAAACAGATTCCACTCAAAATGTTGATTCCACGCTTATTATTCTGGCAGGTAACACCTCCCCCTGGAATAAACAAATAGTGCGTCCCCCGTTACATTAAGCAATGGTCAGCATGAGATATGCAAAAGGAAACATGTCGCTTGTCAGCACCAGTAACTAGTACATTCCATACAAAAATGGATTGTTCAGGATAGGAAACTGACATGAACTGATCCTCAACGTGGAGATGAGCTTTGACCAACAGTCGCTGCAATTGGGTATTCAACGATGTGGTCTGGACTTTGTGAAGGGTCGGGCACCGGTCTTCCCCAAGGACACCGGGAGAGCTCCGTAGTCTGGAACCCCACATGTTCTATTGTACACCTCAAATCACATTGACTGAGTCACTGACAATCAGAATCTGTAGTTCCAACATGTTCCAACTTCGCCATCCACGCAGATTGGCCCCTCACGACGGAGAGAGCCTCCACGACGATTTCCGCCCATGGATTGATCAACTGGGAGTGGCCCCATGCCTGGCCACTGTGGATGGGCCACGGTGGGGGGGGCCTGGAAGATATATATGAGTATTATATGAGGTACTGTATTTGCGTGGATTTCGGAAGGTTTCGAAGGCTTTCTTGCTGAGAACTTGAGAAATCTGAAGATACCCTCTTACAAAATGCCTCCTCACTCCTGCTTTCATCTTTCTTGCTCTGTGCCTCATATCTGTTCCTCCTTTGGGTCTCTTAGGACCAGGGTCTCCCTGGACCACGATGGGCTCAGTCGTCCTTTTGAAGACCGGTGACTTGGTGCAACCCATGTGAAACCCCGGCCGTGCACGCGAAGTAGAAGTATGCGACGTTGCTTCTTTTCGAGTGAACATCACTGTGAACATCAACCCCAGCCAAGGCCATGGTTGAAGAAAGGTTGACCTGGTTTTATACAACACCCTACCAACTAGCATGCAACACTAGCAAGACCCTTACATCCCGGTGCTTGGAATCTGGGGGTGCACAAGTGCATATAGCTTACAACTGTGTTGTGCGGAACATGCGTTAAACTGTTAAACCATCTCTGATTCCCTCCCTTCAGCGCCCTTCCTTCAGCGCCCTCCAAACACTCAGTGAGGGCCCTCCCACCATGTCACCGAAACCATCGCCACTCACCTGGTCCACCGGCCGAACGAGGCGTGCCTGGTAGTCATTCTTGTCCGGGCTTCGAGATGGAGAGCAAAACACCACCTCGGGTGAGGCGACCAGCATGGCCAGAAGCATTCAGCGCACAAGCGCCAACTGGAATGGACCCCCTTGAGACCCCCTGTCACTTTCCCTGTGCAAAGGAAGGTTAGTTCAACTGCTGTTGGGTTTGGGTTTTAAGGGGCAAAGAAAATTCCCCAAAAGGATTCCAGCATTTTAAAGCTTATCAACTTGTCCTGCCTGTTTGTGCTTGGTGTCCCAACCTCCCCAGCTCAGCGTCACCGTCCAAGGAGCATAAGATTGGGTGTCGACCGCCCGTCCGCGCGCCAGAAGCTGATAGTGGGCGGGCCCAGTGGTCATGTTGAAGGCACCCGGATAGACCAAGACCTAACCCAACGCCCGGTTCACGGCCCGAACATAACGCCGCAACTCGCGTCAGTAGTGGCAGTGGGTAGTGGCTGGCGTGAGTATCGGCTTGAGTCGTCAGGGTCTGTTGCATGGGGAGGAAGATGGGGATTTGCTTTGGGTTGGGGAAGATTGCCAGCTCCAAGTGCTGGAGGCTGGGGGTTGTGCTGGAAGGTTGGCCCCTCAAATTGACAAGCGCCTGTAGTATAGGTGGAGTCCAAACATGTTTCAGCGAAGTGGTTCTTTTCATTTGAATTGCATGAATTGATTCCTACCCGGGTACGGAAGTGTGGAAAAAACTAATAATATGTTGATCTATATGTTGATTTCCCACATCTGTTCACATGGAATTCGAATCCTGTAGCCTCAACAACATGTCAACCACTGGTTCTAGCACCAAGTGGTGCCAGTGTCCTGGTCTTTCTTCCTGCAGCCTCCAGCCGAACCCAGCCGAACCACTGCAGCCGACTTCGCCTTCGCGCCCTCTGCGCGCATGGCCAAAGCCAGCTCTGGAAAGCGGGAGTCGTAGCAAATGCCCACACCTAGGAGGGACAACCACGTGGAACAAGCAGTTCAAAGGAGTCTTAGTTGGTTTAAAGAGTTGATTTAGACACCTCAATCCTAAACGAATATAACACCTAGAGTTCCACCTTGGCATCCCCCTAATACTTTTCTTGGGCAACCCCCCTATTAGTCAATCCCAGCTGCCCCAAACAAATAAAAAATAGCTATTGCATTTATAACTATTTATTATTACCGTTCCTTGTTGCTAGTATCCAATATCTTCTGGTCCATGGTGAAACTGATCTTCTGATCCACCCTTGTCTCATGCCTTGTTCCAACTCTCATGATTCCCACACAATCCCATCAACCATCATCCATGGTCAGGTCCAGGTCCTCATCTCATCATCAGGTCATCATCTTTATTAAGGGGATGTGGTCCTCCAATACCTCCAATCTCAGACCTTGTTGACTTTGTTGACCTTGAAAAGGGGGGGTCCCCGTTGATTAATCCTACGTCGACATTAACTTTTAGCCAAGAGAGATGTCATAAAAATGCAACGTATGTCAGCGAGGTCATGTTTGGTCCTAAAGCTGGCAGAGCACACTGAGTTGGTGAAGCCCTTGGAGGATATCCCATCCTTTGCCCTTCGACATCAGCATCCTCGCAGACCAAATATCACCGTACGGATCTCTTCTCACCGTGCAACCATTCCGACCGATCAAACCGATCAAACCAAGAAAGATCCGGCGCGCGCCTACGCGACACCAAGGCAAATCCACCAAGGTCATGGACTCTCCAACGGAGAGCACGTCCGACTCCTGCCCCCCGCACTGGCGAAACGGACAGGGCAGCTGTTCCAGGGCGGAGTCCAATTGACTCTCGAATTTGACACCATGTTCTGGAATCAATCAAGTGGTTGAGATTGGTCAGGTGATGTCAGGTGTATGGGCCGGATTGATTCCCCCAGAATTTCCAGCTTCGAACCCAATCAGAACCCAATCTGAACAAATCACACGATCAGCAAATGTCAAGTCTACCTTCCAACTGCTTCCAAAGATCTCCTGATGTCTAGATTCCAAACCTGGTGTACCTCATCTCCATCTTTCTTTCTTCAAACTCCCAAGTTCAGTGCCCTCTCCTTGAACTTGATTGCAGCCCTGCCGGGCAACGGTGAGCCATCGGCGCATGGAATCGGATCGGACCTTGCTCTCTATCGAAAAAGACACAGGAAGCAAACCAAAAACTGAGGGAAATTGGCTTTATTTGACATGTCTTTTCCCAAATCCAGCGATAAACCGAACAAGCTTGTGGAATTATCCGACTGGGAAGTGTCATTCATGATGCCTGCAAATCCCACACTTGGTCCCCCCATCCCGAGAAACATGGAGTCCAATTGTGGGATAATCGTAAGAACCTTTCCCAAAGAATTGGGATAACAGCCTGGTTAGCGGTCGCCCTGCCTGGTAGCGGTCGCTGCTACGTCGATGTCAAAGAGATGTACCTTTCGGTGTTTGGCCACCTGGGCTGCCAAAGGAGGATGGCGAAAAGTGAAAAAAGAGCCAAAGCGATATGGTTCAGGACGGTTACAAAATGGAAAAAGGTAATCGGAATGCTTGGCATCATCCTGAGGTGTCGTGAGGTGTGTCAGGTGGAAGATTTGGGAGCTGGTTTTCAATTGAACTGTCCAGTTGAAATGGTCCATTCACCCATTCACCATCCAGGAGTACATTTTGAAATAGGTCGTGCATGTTTCACGTCTATCTTCACTCCCAGCCCCAGCATGGCTAAAAAGACTAACCAATAACCCTATATGACTACCCTATACATATTGACAAAACAAGACAAGATGTATCAAGATGTGCGGCGTGTCCTCCTTCAACTTTGGGAGACTCTTGCATCATTGTGTCTTTGGTAGCAGCTTGCTGCATTCTAGCAAGGCCAAAGTAAACGCCACAGTCCCACTTGAACAAGTCCACAAGGAGCTCCAAAGGTGAACACATCACAGGGGTCACAAGGATTCTTCTTGAGGTCTTTCGCCCAAGGTGCTATGCCGCCCTCCGGGTTCAGCACCAGGGTGGTGTTGTACACCTTGTCCCCCTGGTGGCGCTCCAAAGGAAACCGTTCATCAACGAGATCCATCGAGATCAGAGCCCCCAGGGGAGCTGGAGACCCCATCGGCTGGAGCAAGCTAGACTGGCCGTCAAGGCTGGCGGCTTCCTTGAGTGGAGAGGGGTGGATCATGGGCATCTCTACCTGAAACAATCATGGAAGTGGACAACTGGCCAACATTGGATGATGAAGACATCCGAATGCCTTTCCAGGTGGGTTTCCTTAGCAACTGCAACTCTCCCATGGGCATTGTCCCCGGAACCTGGTGGGAACCTGAGCTTTGCCGCTCCATGCTTCAGATCCAGGGCCCACGGGTGATGAGGGTGGTCAAAGACTGGGAGAACCGGCAGGCCCCGGCCAGTACAATCCCTTCAATCCATTCAACCCCACCAGGCCTCCAGTTCAGGCAGTGACCCCCCGAAGATCCAGACCTTATGCTCCCGCGCCTCAGGCTCTGCTGCATCATGCTGAGCATGGCACGAAATGAGCTACGGAATGGAACCCCAAACAAGGAGACGTTCTCCCCTTGACTGGTTTGATCATGTCAAGCTTGAATGAAACCCGGATCTCTAGATGTCTCTGACACAGCACGATCCAACACTTCAAACCAAAGGGGCCAATTGTATATAGCCACTTTGAGTCATGGCGATGTTGTGGTTGGTCGAGCTCCCACTTCAGACTTAGACTGAATGACAAGTAGCTGAAAAAATCTCAAAAGTATGGTGCCCCTGAATCTCCCACCCTGGTCAACGAACAAAAAATGAACTGTACGAAACCCTGATTGACCCACACCCCAAAACCCTCGGAGCGTGGCTCCAGGTGCTCACAAAAACGGGTTGTCGTCCGGATGGTCGTCCAGGGCGCCATCTCGCACAGGAGCTTGACGCTGGGAGAGCTGTCAGAGGCCAACTGGCCTGGCAAAGGCAGCCGCTCCCCGTACTCGAAGAAGTACTTCGTGGCGTAGGGGCAGCTAAACCTGAGTTGTCAAAACCTTGCGGAGGGAAAACGCCCAAACATGTGGGTCAAACATGGTGGGCATGGATGCAGCCTGAAAAAACAGTGGAGATCCAACAGTTGCCAGCTGCTATGTCCTTTAGCCTTTGCCCTTTAACACAACAATTCCCCAAACTTTAGAACATCATAAACCCAATCACACTCGTCTTTTCACAGCCCACCTCACGTGGGCCCCTTCATCTGCCAAGAGGCATCTCGCCCAGCACCACCACCCTGGAGAGCCAAACAATGGCGACTGGGATCCCTCCATTGATCCTACTACCAGTAGTAGAGCATGAAATCAATCCATGTACAGAAATCCTCACCAAACCATCAGAAGTCCTCCAAGGTCCTCCACAAATCCACAAACAAATGACTTGGCCGTATCTTGTGCGACTCCACCAGCGGATTTCTTGGCTCCCCCAGCTCAGCTCCTTTCTTCACCTCAATTGGCAGCCAATTTCGGTTCGCGGTGGCACCGGTGGTCGTCTTCGAAGCCAGCACGTATAAACCGCAAAGGGGAAGAGGTTTTATGTATTTCACCAGGGAAACTTTATATCATATACTGCGTTTATACCATATTTAAAACGTTTTTGTGAACAAGAACAGGTTTCGTGAAAGGAAAGGGCAGGCAAATTAACAAATTCCTTGAACATAAGGAATGTTGGGAGATGTTATGGATGTCATAGATGATACGTATCAAGCAAATTCACTGTTGGCACCAATGAATGTCATGCTTGCGGAGCTCAGCATCGTTTACGATTTCTCGATGTCCTACCCTCATGCAAAGAAGCAAAAACCTTCGCTGCATCAATCCCAAGATCAACAATCAAAAAGAGTTCTCCTTCCTTCAGTTCCGTCGGGGCCGAGCGTCCGCTTCCTCAATGGCAGCCTTTGCATTGGCCAAGCTCACCTTCTTGTCATGACCTAAGACTCATGAATCTTGCTAGACCAAGGACCCAAAGTGCATCATCACAGTGTGTCGCGCTCTCTCTCTCTCTCTCTTGACAACGACACGGCATGCTCAATGCCAAACACACCATGGGACTGGAATAATTATGTTGTCAGTCTACATTAATTAGATTGCATTAGGGTGTCTTAAAGATCTTCGAAGGTCAAGGTGGGAACAACACATGCATGATTCTTGTATGATGAGTGCATGCCTCTGGACTTGGAAAAAAATGCATCACCTCGCACTTGGGACCGTGAAACATGGACCCCAAATCACCCGACAGTGACCCCCGGAAACGGATAGAACATGACACCAAAGTAAATCTCCCTTGAATAAGAATTTGGGTCAGAAGCCACTCGTTTTGATGGGGGTGCCATGACAGGATGGGGGTCTCCGGTGTGTAACGCTTCGGCAGCATCGCAACTCAGGGTCCAACTCACATGGGTCCTAAGTGAGCCCAAGCTCGGTGAAGGAAGGGGATGCAGTGATTGTTCAACCAAATGCCACAACACCCAGCATTTCTTTTGATAAGCCTCGCCCTATAATTGATCTAGTGAACCCAGTGAGTTTCACAGTATTGCCATGACCCCAACTCGCTGCATACATATCCAAAGAAAGCAAGTAAAATAGAAGCCATTGCATGAATCTGTTATAATCTGTTCAAATGTATCTTGTGCATCTGTAAGTCTGTAAGCATATATATTAAATATAGATTCCAAGTGAGTTGATCCCAAATTCATCGTTCTTTTTGCTTTCAGCTCGGTGACCGCACTGGCAAAGCCCAATCTTGAACTTTCCATTGGACCCTTCCGTCGGGCCGAAGGAACGACGAGAGCCGACCAAAGGAACGACAACGACACGTGTTGGCACCGCGCCGGTGTGTTGGCATGTTTCGTGGCAAGCTCAGCACTTTTGGTCGCAGATTGAAAGACACCAAGTAAAAAACATCACAACCTTCCCAGAGGTGTCTATAAATATATATATATATATATATTAGCCTCTTAGAGGTTAGCAGGTGTCCAAGAACCACCTAACTTGGAAGGTCCTGGTATAGTCGAACAGCCTCTTGACACCGCGCCAGGATAACCAGTGAGACGGCCTGGAGCGCGTGTGGTTGCATAGCCAGCACCTCACACGTGGCAAATCTAGCAACACTTTGCTGGGTTGGGGTTAGCTAGCAAGAATGGCACGGGCTTCCATGATCTCAGTTTTGTGTGGCCCCTGCCACATGCACTACCTTCCGTGACAAATGCACATTGTAAACCTTGGTTGCTCCAAGTGATGCCTTGTCTTTGGTCCTTTCTACCATCTCCACGAAGTTTCACCCAGCTCCACCTCACCGTGTTTCACCCAGCAGATCCAACGTCGACCAGCCCCGACTGGGTGCCCTGACTTGCCATGGCCCAAATCGCAAGGCGACCAGACCGCTGAAGATCCACCCTGCAGTGGGCGGAGATCTGGTGATCTGGTGACTCCGGACCAAGGTCTGGAGTCTGAGTCCGCCTTGGTCAAACCAGCCCAAGCCGACTAGGGAATGTATAACACCAATATATGAAGGGTGGTATACACCACCGACCGCGCCGGTATACACCACTCTCTCTCTCTCTCCCTGTTTTGAAACACGGTGACTGAATCCCTCTGAAACGGGTCTACCGGTACCCCCCCCGCACCCAAGAGGGAAACGGGTCTACCGGTACCCCCCCCGCACCCAAAGGAGCCACGCCTTCGTGGAGTGCAAGGCAAGGCCCTTCCAAGAAGAAGGACCTTGGAGGGTCGAAAGGGAACTCAATGCATCGAATGCATCGAAGTTCTAAGGTTCTAATGTTCCTTCACCGGTCGTTTCACCGGCTTTTCAAACCCATCTTTCGGAATCAAAGGTTGATCTCCCAAGGTGTCAAATCATCTGTTATCATACTATCCATGATATACACTCCCGAAAACTAACATAGACCCTGACAATGGTCCCATGAAAGACTATTTTCCTCTACCAACCAGGGGTTTTCAGGTTCCATGTTAGTCTTCCATGATATATATATATATATATAGTATAGCTGTGTAGCCCCAGGCTGAAAACGCCCGTCACACATCACGAGCTTCCGCGCGTGCGACACGCGCCCAGCGCGAACTGCTGGTCCAAGCATTCAGCCGCAACGGCTGCAGAGTGAGAAAGCAGGATTTCCTTTTATAACCCAAAATGACGAGTGGATCAGAAAACCACTCAAAGAATCTGCGGACAAACATGATCTTCCCTTCAGACTGTGGGTTTTTGGCTTGTATGCTGTATAAGTAGGGGTTCCAAAACTATCAAAACATATCAAAACATGGATTTCATATATATATATATATATATCAAGATTTCTGTCGGGCAAAGTTTTGTCAACTGAATCACGGGTCATCGCATCTTCTCCAGTCAACAGCACCTTCATGCGTCACCTCCCCGCTGTCGAAGCCGTGCCTGGTAGCGGTAACCCGGCGGCTTCTGCACCTGGCAGGAACTGCATTGAAACCCGGTGATCCTGTTCAAATTTAATAGATTCTTTGATGCTCTTTTTGGAAGATGCCAGGTTGCACGTCTCCAAGCGTTTAAAGCAGGAGAGCCCCTAAACATCTCTAAACATTTTGCTGATCTACTTGTATTTACTTGTTTGCTTCTCCGGACTGCAGGAGTCACACTAGAACTGCATACGGCCATGCCACATGAACTCCATAGTCCATAGTTCCCTGCCTGCGGATCGCTCATGAGGATGATCTTGTTCCTGCAAACTCGTTGGACCCAAACGGGGGCGACCCTTCGAAGTAGACTCTTCAGCATGTCATGCGTCACATGCCAAAAAACCGGTGGGTTTGCCGGGAAAAGTCATGTTCCAGGCTCCAGGAAGCCCGGAGTCAAGCGCCCCAGGTTGAGGGTCGCTGCTTGGGGTCGTTGAATCCTGCCCTGACAAACAAAGCATCTTTTAACAAAAGGCTGTGGGCCGGAATGCCTTTCAAGGAGAGAACGTCCTTTTCCTGTCATTGCGGGGAACAGGGGGTCCTGTCAATGCAATCGGCCAGAACCTGACACGAGGATACACGAGGCATCGTTTTGAATTCTTCAGATTCTGCAGCTCCTAGCTTATCAAAACCATTCGATCCCAATCAAGGTAGATGCACCTTGGATATCAGCCCCGAACATCAACTCGGCCAAAGTCACGCATGTGATGACCCACCGCGTGCGGGCGTGATGACCCACCGCGTGGTGTTCCCACCACGCGTGGAACGGCGAAGCTCTGGGCGGCCCGAGCATCGTCCGTGCAAAGTCCAGATTAGCCTCTCGCACCAAGGTGTTGCAAAAGGTTTCAGGCCTGCCGTGGAGCATCGTCCAAGGCAGGAGAAGGCGAAGGGCGAAGGTGCAAGGTCCGTGTGACGAGGAATCCGGCGTTTGATGTATGGAAGGAGCCAGTAAAAATCCAGGTGAGTTTGGGGAGCACATCCATGGATTGGAAGATATGAAGCAAATTTCGTACAAATGACTTCTATGTTGATTTGAGGGTAACGATGGTCACTGATGGTCGGGTACCTATGGGGATGGTGTTGTGTGTGTTGGACGAGCTGCTTGGCACTCGAAGCTAGGTTGCTTTCCTAATCTTTCTGCTCTTCTGCTCACAATACAGTAAATAAACAATTATATAATATTATATATATAATATGGCAGGGGGGAGGCTGGGGAAACATGGACATCTTCTGAATGAAACGTGTTCTTCCCTCAAGCCAGCCCTGAGCTCCACCCTGAGCTCCACACACATCTCTCAGCGCGGCAGAATTCCGTGAGAGATCCAAGACCTCCAAAGGTCCCGTCGCTCACGCGTCCGTCAGCAGGAAGGAGTCCTTTGGAGAAATTGATTCTTCAAACGCCCCTCGTCTCCGGAATGGCTTTGCAATTTGCAATGCTCTTCAACCTCCAGGCTTGGACGGTGTTTGAATGTTTTCTTCATCAGCAGTCAACATTTGCCTCCTGATACTTAAGCCACTGGTGTTTGCTCATTTGCTCGTCTGCAGGGAGCAACCATCCCCTGCACCAAAGGATCTACTAGGTTTGGTCCACTAACATTTGCCATCACTAAGAACAACATGAGAGGCGAAGGAAACGCATCGGCATCATCATCACCATCACCATCACCATCATCATCATGATGATCATCATCACCATCACCATCACCATCACCATCATCATCATCATCATCATCATCATCATCATCTGCCAAGAAGCCACTTTCACCTAAATAACCAGAGTGCCTGTACAGGAACAATCTAAAGGCGACTTACATGCATCCCGGATCCCGGCATACTTGAAGGCTAGACATGACATGTGTGGAAGCCCCACACTCTTCAAGACCCATGCCATATGAAAAAGGCCAGAACATTTGATTCGCTGAATATCCTCGAGGGTGGTTGAGGCTTCACATCTATAGTTAGCCGTGCGCGTGCCAGTGCCCAAAATCCCGTCACATGCGAGCAAGGCCGTCCAATTAAACCTCCAGAAGACTGGGTTGCACCTTCCAATTTCCAAAACCTGATACAACTTCTTGCTTTGCAAGGAATGATGTGTGTGTGTAGAACTGTAAACCAGGGTCATCATTTCTCGGAAAAAATCGTCACTTCAACTGATCCTCTCCCGCATGGGGCAGCGGTAAGCCCAGGCTGAGGTCAGCACCCGTGCAACCTCGGAGGTTAAGCATCAGTGACTGAAAGGTGTTTCTGATGGCAACATGGGCCGCAAGTTCCAACGCTGAAGGGCGTCCCTTTAGACAAAACAGGGAGTCTTAACTTAACCTCTCCCTTTGAGAGGTCTTACCTTTCTATGTCCCTTTTTCAGGAGGATGATCCTTCGTTGGTCCCCAACTAGCATGTGACCATGGCCGCCTTCCGTGCTGCACTGAGGAGCATGCCTGGTCCTCGTCAAGCGTCTGGATGTCATCCACGGGCATGTTATCTATCTAGGCAGCCGTGATGCGAAATGGGAGATTCATCCCCAAGGTGAGTGAGATTCACCTCAATGAGACCTTTACACCACTATATAACCGTTAGATGTCTCATTGTCATTCGAAGATCATCTTTTTCTTGATCTGATGCTACTATGGCTTATCTCATCATATCTCAACCTGCTTGGGGCATACAGAGTTCCACCACTGGGTCGGGCGAATCCTGCTTGTCCCCTTAATATGCTGCGGGTCTCGGGCAGCTCATTGAGAGATAGCCTGCAAACACCAGAGTACAGCATCACGGGTAATCTTGTGCCAGGCCGCGAAGAAGTTCAAGCGAATCCTCGCCTGAGCCTGGCAAATCAAGAGCAACTTTGGACAATGATTACGTTTCTCAGCCTTTTATGTTGGCCCCGAGTCAACGAATGTGCTTTGTGCACTGCATGCGTGCACCGCAAAAAATTCCAGGTAAGAGTGCCAAACATCTCCGAATTCAATGTCCTAACATGTCCTACACCACAATGGTCGGTCCACCTTTCGGTCAAAGCAGGTCCAAGCGGATTCACGGTTTTGCTCCACGGATTCACCACCTCTGCGTCCCCTCAAAAAAAAACAACTGGAAGCCTTCAGGACCTGCTACCCCAAGCTTCACCAACTCCCACGAACCACACTTGGCGAAGCCGAAACAGCCCGCCTTTTGTAGCGCATCAAACGCATAGGCGATCCGGTCGGCGAACACCTGCGCGTGCACACAGAAACGCTGGGTCGCGCACAACGACGGGTCGGTCAAGATCCGAGCCGATCCGATTTCAAGGGCGGTGGATCTTCCTCACGTGAGACAAACCAACAAAGGTTAAGTGACCTTATAGGACCCTACAGGGGTACCTATAGTATACTCTATAGGGTTTTTCAACTCTTCAACCTCTGCTGGAATTCATTACTCAATCCAGGTATTGGATCTTCCGGTTTCATCGTGAGGCGGCGGCCACTTTCTTCTCCGGCCCAAGAGCCAGTCCAGTGACCTAGAATGAGAAAAACACGAATTGAACAGTGCAGGGCAAATGTTGCAAAATGAGCCAGTGTCCATGGAGCTTGTGGGCGTTTGAGATGTGCTCTACCATGGTGGCTGAATGAGGAGGAGAGACAGTGAGAGGAGGCAAAAGCACACATAAATGAATATATTCCGATCAACTCCACACATGTTTGGACAGTGCACATTTCACAACAATCTTCGTCACAACATGTTCCACAAAAAACATTCTCCCACCAGGAGGTTTCGAAGCTAGGCACTTCCACAAGGCTGGATCTTCCCCGCCTCTGGATCTTCGCCCTGAAGGACAATTCTCAGCCGGCCCACGGGCTCCAAGTCCCCCTGAGCGCGCCAAGAATTCCGGATGCCCAAGGAAATCCTACCTGGAAAGGATTTGAGGGACGGACGTTTCATAAAAAGGGTTTGTGAGGAATGGGTGTTTCATGTTGGTCCAAGACCAACAGTCCTCTCTTGTGAGTGAAAAGTTTTGGAGGTGAGGGTAGTTAGTTTTTCTTGATTCTATGCTTTGCCGGGTTGGCATAGCATAGACTTCACTGTGACTATAAGCTTCGAGAATGGTCCTATTTGGGATACTATCCCTGAAACAATAATGGAAGTCATAAAGTGGGCAATGGCCAGGTTTTGTTTTTTCCACTTCCATGATTTATTGACGGAATGTAAATGTTGTTCTCAATCGTTCGTCTGAATCGTTGCAATCGTCTAAAGGCAATTCCAGTGATGCGAGGGGTGTTGTTCGTGTGTGTGTGTCCACCCCTGGACAAAGGGTTTCGACCGACTGTCTCACCACCAACGAAGACACTCTCGATTTCCTGGTGATACTGGGACTGATCATCCCAGCATACCTGCCTTGATTGCAAGCTGTGACACCAATTTTCCTCTGGTTTGTTTTCATGGTCCTTGCATGATCCCTCCCCCTAAACCTTTTTTGCAGCCGCGTTGTAGTGCAGCAGAGCCGCGCCGATCGATCGTTTCTGCAGACTTGACCAACAACTTGTTGAAACACCTACAAGTCTTTCGGACTCTCCACCATGCAGTTCTGTCACCTTCCTTCCCAGCGTGGGAACTGAGTTCACTGAATACAAGTGTCAGAGTGTGTTTCGCTCAGCCGTCCCACTCGGGTGCTGAGTGTGATCCCCGTCACAGGGGCGCGGTTTTTACATCGGAAAGCAACCAACCCAACATGCCACCTCTCACCGGATTTCCACTGGAAGTCATTGACACGCCCTTTGAATCAACTGATGCATTGGCCGCCGGGCGAAATACGGTAACTTTCTCTTCCACCAGCTTTCAGATCAGTCATGCACGTTGTTTTTCCACAATTGCTAAACCCCCAATGAGGCAGGTTCCCCAACCCCCCCCCCGCTGAGTTCTACTCCCTACCTATTTGGGGCAACATAGGGAAATGGTACTCGACACACTTGTGTGTCGGTGCCTTTCCCTGTGTTGTTCCTTTTCTAGTCTTTCCTACCCGGGCGGTCTAAGACTAAAGTCCCGCTCCCTAACTATTGCACCTAATTAAGACCTGCTAAGTAGTCAGTAACTAATTCTTGTTGAAAGCTTCTGTTGATCGGACCCAGCACTTCTTTCCGTTCCCTCAAGTCAAGGGCTAAGTATTCAGTAACTAGAGTGCTAGGTAGTCAGTAACTAGAAGGTTTTGTAACTAGTGGGCCTCGTAACTACACCTATCTTTCTTTCTTCCCCTCGTAGCGCTGCTCTTTCTGTCTTTCTTTCCTTTTGTTTCTAAGAGGCTTTTTAGGTGCCTATTTAGTTTTTTTCTCACATGCGCGCCGAAACAGCGCCGAAGCCGGCGACCTGTGTGTGTCCACCCCTGGACAAAGGGTTTCGACCGACTGTCTCACCACCAACCTTTTCTACTAGGCAGGGGGTGGCAGCAGGAACGAGAGTCTGCCACCAACGAAGACACTCTCGATTTCCTGGTGATACTGGGACTGATCATCCCAGCGTACCTGCCTTGATTGCAAGCTGTGACACCAATTTTCCTCTGGTTTGTTTTCATGGTCCTTGCATGATCCCTCCCCCTAAACCTTTTTTGCAGCCGCGTTGTAGTGCAGCAGAGCCGCGCCGATCGATCGTTTCTGCAGACTTGACCAACAACTTGTTGAAACACCTACAAGTCTTTCGGACTCTCCACCATGCAGTTCTGTCACCTTCCTTCCCAGCGTGGGAACTGAGTTCACTGAATACAAGTGTCAGAGTGTGTGTCCCCCGCAATAGCTTCGACGATGTCCGCCACCGCAAACATCCAAAAAGAACTTGCACGCGGCATTGTCGTAGGTGATGGCGAGCGAAGGCGCCGAGGGTGGAAGCAATGTCATCACAGGCATCCCTACTAAATTTGTCTCCGCGGCTTTTGGGTGTGAGTTGCAGGTGCACCGCGACAGCACTGCCTGTTCGGCGCTTGGACGTCTCATTCACCTTTTCCAGCATATCCTCCACTTGTTCTGGGTAGTATCGCGGCAGATTTACTGCTTGCAATGCTTTGGGCAGCGCTTCATTGAGCTTCAAGTCCTCACCAGGACGGCTTGACATCTTGAGCGGCAGCACCCGTTTGCCATTTTTCACATGCTTACACATGAGATTGTTCAGCATGGTTGATTTCCCAATGCCTCGGGAACCACTGACCACCAAGAACTACGTTGAGGTGAGTTGATGTGGTCCTTAATGTATTCCTCCTCGAGCGGCCGTGCAGGGGCGGGCTCTGTCCTTTCCAGCCTTTGCCCAGCCTTCCTCACTGCCCTGTTCATGAAGAAGCCAGGAAGGAACCTTTGAATAAGAGCTTGGAGAACCAGCACTACGACGCTCCCTGTGCTCAACAAAGTCCAACCAGTTTTAACGGTCTGCGCCGGAAAAGCCCTTGCAGGCTGTGTTCGTGCATGACCGCTTGGAAGGACGAACCGGCCTGGCGCAAGCTGAACCTGCCTCACAAAGATGCATCTGCGGAATGTCAAAGAAACAGGACAATACATCGGTTCAGTCAATTTGTGCCAAACTGACTTTGGATTGAAGGATGCTTGATATGCAAAACCAAACAGGAACCACAGCGCCTAACCTCAATCAATACATGAATTTGAAGCAATTAATTCGACATCTTTGAAGAACAACTTGGTAGAATTTGAACCTGAACCTACACATAGAAACTCTGACCACCTCAACAATTATCCCCTTCATTCAATGCAAACAATTTTGTGAAAGTTATGACCCTAAAACACGCATAACAAGACCCCAGAAAAACGACAAAGGCTCAAGACAAATGTTCAAGAGCCAAGAAAATTCAACGAGGTGATTGATGAACCAAAACTCCCCAGAACCCCCATTTTACCATTTTTGGGGGGCGCGTTCGCCTCAGCTGTTTTCAGCTGGTGCGTTCTCCGGGGCGCCCGAGCGCGAGGGTTGGAGTTCCACCGGACCAAAAAGTCCTTGTTCCCTTTGCCATCTTGCAGGTCCTGCACGAAACACGCGCAGTGGTCATTCATGGCTGGTCCCTTCCCACTGAGGCACTGTGGTCATTTGCCTTCTTCCCAATCTATGGCACCTCGGAAGTCTCAAAAACCTGGATGGATGTTTGGGATCTTGGGTGCACAACCCCTCTGCAGCCCCCTTTTTTGGCTGTTTGGCTCTATGTTCATCAGGAGTGAAGGTGCAAAGGATTATAACTACGAATGCAAACAGAACAGGAGGTCTGAGAGTGCCAGAGTTCTTGCAGTATGGACCGGATGCTTTTGTGGCTCTTTTTATGGGGAACTTAGCATGAATCCGGTTCCAAAACACTTTTGGACAGGTTCACTAAAAGGGGGTTCCATGCATAGTGATTCAGAAAGAAACAACGTCGTCCTCCCAACGCGTCAGCAACTTGAGAATTCGGCGATCTCGGGTCCTTCAAGCCCTCCACTGTGCAGTCCTGGGCCCAACGAATGCAGGTCTAGGATGTTCCGTCTGTTCCCTTGCCCTCTCCATCTTCTACTCATCTTTACTCAGGAATGCTTGCACTCCCCCAAAGCTACATAACAATGATACTAATGTCTCTCCCTTCCGGGAAGAGGTGTTCAAAGGTCGGGCCTGCTAAGAAGAAACAACCAAAAACCTATCTTCTGCCCCAAGGGCTCCACACATCATGTTTTCCAGTTCCACGTCCCGCGCTCGACAGACAAAACGAACGCCACGCAACAGTCGACGCTCCCTCCTCCCAAACAGAGCCCTTTGTCTCATGGAAGCGCATCGCCTTGGCCTGAAAGATGGCACGGAGGAAGGAGGAGGTACTTGGGGGGTGGGGGTTCCTAGTAACATAAACATGCAGCCGAATTAAAGAACACATGCAAGGAAACATGCAAGGGAACATAAAGTGATTGACGATCATTTTGAACACGAGTCACATGCGCACGAAAAGCAGTACACATCTTCCAAAGCGGTATGGTATATATTTTTTTGTTTATGGATGACGAAGTTTCCAGGTGCAAGGACTGCCCAAGGACCGTCCTTTATGAGAACTGAGCTGGCTCAAAAGCTCAGGCACAAGGCCCCATCACTTCTGCACAAGTGGAACTGGACATCGGCCTGCAGTGGCAAGAAGCTACCGTCAGGTTGCTGTCCCAACCTGGGCGACTTGAACGGCCGAGGAGCTGTGCAGCGGTCGTGCCGTTTTGGAGGCCGTCATGGAGCAACGAACGAGGTGACCCTGTGGTTGAAGAGGCACGCTCAGGAATGAGAGGTGTCAGTCTAATGCAATAATACGTATTATATGGTGTTTTTCAGAAAGCCCAGTCTAATGACCAGAACGGACTTTCTGGGTCAATGTTGCTAGATATGCTAGGGCCTAGAGAATGAAACTCTTCCCCCCACCCGGCCAAGAACAACGATTCTCAAAAATGCCTTTTGGGAACAGTCATCTGCTCTTCGCCTTTTATATCCTTTTATCCCTTTCTTGAACTGTACAAACCCACTTTTGAAGCCAAACAGCACCTTAGTTTTTTGAACCACAGTGGGGGGGGGGCTGTGGTCCAGAACCGAGCATCTCGGGCACCCGAACTCCAGCCACTGCTCGGGAGTTCGGATGTCATACTCGATGTTGTTGAAGTCATCCAGCTGCAGCCAGAAACTGGGCGGCCAGGCACCAGTTTACGGGTCCGTCGGCATCGGTCGGTGCAAGGATGGATCTCTAGATCCCTTCTGCTTGGGAGTTCTGCTCCGGACTCTTTAGGACATGTTTGGCAGGGCTTTCTTTACTTGAGGCATACGATACTACGGCTGGAGATGCAGGATATCATGGAAGTGGAACATGACCTGGAAAGACCATGTGCCGACCCGCAAACAAGGGGTTGGACAACCCTCCATGTTTCTTGGAGGGAGGGTAATAAGGTCCAAATGATGCCTGGTAGTGGGGGAAGTGATTGGGGCGGTGGTTTGCAAATCACCTTTCAGACATACAACCACCCCTGAAGAGATCCCACCTCTGGCTGACACTCAAGTCTTTTTGCGTCTTTTTTTCATGGCCACGACCTCATCACTCCTAAGCCTCAAAGGCAAGGACTCATCCAAGCATCCTGACCTGGAACACCTTCACCCCGCCTTAGCCTCGCACCTCAAAAAATGCTGCACGATGTCGTGGGTTTATTCGCCCCTACTGCATACATATAATATATATATATAATATACAAATACCCTAAACCTCCCTGCTCCATCCACGCTACGCTGCTGGGCGGTCCAAGCTCACGATCCCAGTTGGGTGAGAAGTTGCAGTTCCGCTCCTCCAGCAGATTCTCCACCTGGAAGCCGGCCACCCGATTGGTGTTGAGATCTGATTGTCCAAGGATATTGGATCCATTTGCTCCTAGTAGCTTTTTGCTCCTGTAGTAAGGCCAGGAGCCCCTAGTAGCTTCTTGCTCCTAGTAGCGATGCCCTTTGCTCCTAGTAGCGTCCTTGCTCCTCATGCTTTGCACACAATAGGGGTGTGGGAGTGTGGGATGCCCACGGGTGCCCTTTTCCAGACACGTAGTCATGACGTAGTCCTTCAAGATCTCCCAACCCGTCCTTTTCCAGGCTCGTGTTGGTCACCAATCTTGGTTCATGTTGGTCAGCCTTGTAGTAGCTCGTTGTTGGGGGCTGCGAAGGGCTTAAGATAAGGGCAAGTGGACTGGAACATCCGGGATGAACCCAACATGGTGGATGGACCTCCAACAATCTCTCTCTCTCTCTCTCTCTCTCCCTGTGTATTCCTCCATATAAACATAACTCATGGGCCACATGAGTGGCAAGTGGAATCCACATGCAGCACCCGCCCATCCGCATGGCTTTGGACAGCCTTTCTCACCCGCCGTCTCTCGCGAACCATGAGCACACTGAATTGTGGGAAACAAAAAAAAGGGGAGCAATCTGTCGGGCCACCGGCTTGCCCTTCTGAGTTCTCCTCGTTCTACAGTCGTTTCAGAGTAGATGGACTCGACACTGGCACCCCTACATGTCTTTTGTATGGTCCATACTTGCGCCACTAAACTTGGGGTATCTTGTGCCATCTACTCTAAAAGCAAGGGCCCTCCAACGGGGTCCATTTCCATGGCATCCAAGGCGCATCCAACGCTTCAAACCACTTCCGCCGTCGCTCCACGGTCACCTGCCAGCGAAAGCGCCCGCAAACCGCCAGTTGGACAAATGAAAAATGAGATTTAGGCCTCTTCCTTGTGTAAACCTCCACGGGTCTATGTAGGCCCCATGTAAACAATCTTCCTCCAAGCCACCCTCATAGTGGGTGGGAGTCATGGCCCAACTGTAAGTGACCAATCACTCGCCGATCACCGCGAGCCTTCCGAGGCCGATCCCCTGGCTTGTGGGCATAGACTTCGATGACCTGCGGGGTTCAAAGGACGGCGTCCCGGCAGCTCATTGCGGCCTGGTGCAACGTCAACAAACGGAACTTCGATGAACTTCGATCGGATCCACAACAGATACAACAGGTCTGGCGTCTGGCGCTACCGCTTATGTTGGAATCATCTAGTCTTTCGGACGCAGAAAATGAACATGAACGAACTCTTTTAGATAAAGGAGCGGGTGCGGCCTTGCAACATGCTCAACCTTTCCACGCAAATAATAGTAATATGATATAATACAATATACAGTAAATATAGACATGCCCGCTGTCAGAATCGTTCACTCAAATATGCTGCACTTATTGGATCGAGCTTGCCCCAAACAATATAGTGACCCCAAAACAAAATTATGGACCAATCAACTCTTCTCTCCAAAACATGAAACAAATTGCTTTTGAAGCCGTCTGGAGTCTGGACATTCATCACCTTTCCAGGTTGATCCTCGTTTCTATGTCATATTTACCGGAATTTACCAATCAGTTGGGGTGGTGCCAGAGGGGTCTGTCTGGGGCGGCAGTCCTATAGCAGTCCCAGACAGGTCGTGTCTGAGCTCTTCGGATGTGTCGGAGTTTTCGGGACACACTGAGTTCTCTCTCGGCACCTTGGGTTCCACCGGTTGGAAGACCTTCCGCGGCGTGTGTGGCTCGGCCTGGCAACGGTCGGAACGGTCGGAACGGTATGGAACGGTCCGGTGTTCTGGGCAAAAAGAGGTGAAACATGTTGAAACAACACATCAATGGTATTGACATATACATGTTCAACAGATCATATTAAACATATTATATCATATTGAAACATACAGATTAAAACCTATAGAACAAAAATCAATGAATCATCCAAAGGTCCCCCCCGGAAAGGGCACACCAAGTGATGCTGCTAAGGTGTATCTAAGGTCTTAGTGGGCCGCGACTTGTGGGTGTTTGATGTCCGTACCTGTGGGCGCATTCTAACAGAGTGCATTAGCATCTACAACTCTAAGAGGTCTGCAACATGATCAATATTCGGCTGAAGCCTTTGAACGTCAATTTCTGGGAACTGCATGCAACTCTTGGTTCAGATTGGGTCGCTCACGTGAACACCTTGAAGGGTAGTGACGCTGGGGTCCATTCAAAAGAGGGTAATGTGGTGGACCCCATCCACTAGAGCTAGTGGATTAAGAGTAGATGGCACACTCCCCACAACAAAAAACATGTTTGGGGTTTGTGCCATCTACTTCTTGAATCTTCTTGAAACCAAAGTAACCAAAAACCAGTCTCAGCACTGAAACTACCGCGTTCAATCCCCCGCCCTCCAGAACCGCCAGAATCACCCGAGATGGATCACCCGATTCATCACGCTTGGCGTGCTGTGCCTCTTGCGCTTTGGCGCGCAAACGATCTGAGAGGCTAAAGCTGGTGGCACTGGCTGACCTGCGAAAATGACAACAAGGCCACAACTCCACTGCCCCAGCGGCAGCTCTGCGCACCCAGTGCCACCATGTATAAGCAAAAACATCTTATATAATATTGATTGCTTATGACTAGTTCTGCTAACTGAATGATTGAGTCCTATGTCCAATTCCTCACGTCCACCTCTCTGCTCTCACTGAGCCCACAAACTTCCGTAGAGTGCTGCAGCAGGTGCCGAGCTCCTCGGGGCCCAACTTGCAGGAGTCCACCTCCTGACGCCTCACCGGTCGTGCACGCGGCACGAAAGCGGTGGTGCGAGGGTGGACGGAGGAACCGGTTCTTGTTGGGGCATGACAAGGCATGTACATTGATGTAGCTTTAGCTGGAGTCCATGCAGCGTGGAGATGTCAGGTGTTCTTCTCGGTTGAAGGGGACCTCGAGAGCCCTTGGAAGTGGGCTCCGGTCCCGGTGAGCACGATGGCGGACGATGGCGCGTGACCTTAGACATCTCAAGGTTTTGAGGCATCACCCGCTGTGGGAGCCTTAAGGGGGTGGGGAATCCATGTTATTAAGGGCTTGATACCCCTAAGAAACGTACACAAGGGAACCGATGAAGAGATTAGACCAAACATGACCAAAACAAAGAATGCAACATCAACAACCATGCTGGAGTTGAGATAGAAGAAGTGCTGGAAGTTTGATCATCTCCCTTTCCACTCTTCTTTTGCCCCTTCAACTTGTGCATCTCAAACTTCTGGCAATAAGAACAAGCATGATCTAAGTCTAGGTGCCCATCTCTGCGGCATGGACAGGACCACCATCCTCCCATCCCCAAACCTCTGCACCTGCTCTGCACCCAGACCCAGAGACCATCGCGCCTATGGGGTTTCACCACTTCGGACATGATGCCCCGCTGCCTCGGTCTACGGGTGAGCAGCTGAGGCAGTGAGGCAGTGGTGCAGCGGTCTGGGTCACTGTGAAGTCGTCTGCAGAAACCAACGACGTCATCTGAAACGGGTCTTGAACAAACAAGATTCTCATCCACTAGGAGGCACAAAGAAACTATACTTACTAATTAACTATGAAGTAGTGCTTCATGTGTGTCAAGCTCACTCATCTTTTTAGGGGATTGCAGAATCCACCTTTGCAACTGTGAGGCTTGGGGAGTTGCTAGGCAGTGGCCCACGAACGCTTCCAGATCCATCAAGAGCAAGGCATGCTTGAAAGCAACCGCCCCCCTACTCAAACCTTCAAATTTGGACATGTTTCGGCCCAGGTGTCACCTGGATCTTAATAACTACCCTCTGACGAACACATCACATAGAAGGGGGAAATCCATCATCTTCCAAGGCGGCCATGTTCCACTTCCATGTGATGTGTACGTCAGAGTGTATTAGCTCCAGTAGGGGCCTCCATGCACGGTCCTTGGCGACTCGGCGTCCCCCGTGCCCCTGCCGCCTAAAGGAGGTATTCTGCGCGAAGAAGGCGCTCGACGAGCTTCCCATCCCTTGCCGACCTTGGTGCTACGTAGCGGCGACCCGGGGGCCACACCGGGTGCCAGGTGTCCATTGCACTTCCGGAGTGAGTTTCCATAGCAGGTCCCAACACCATATCCACTTCCTCAACTGACTTGTCTTGAAAGATGTTCAGAGACAAAACAGCCGGAATTCAGGAGAACGTGGGAGAACTTCTACACACCATTGAAAAGGGTGAAGCATATTGAAGCATGCTAAATTGTTCGGGGAAAGCAATGTCGCGTGCTACCGCATTCAACGACCTTCCCTCCGCCCGACAACGCAGCGGGCGATCGCCGGGCGTCGCCTTTTCTCTGCGCGGCCGCCTCTCAACTTCCCCAGAGCTCTCCGCGAACTGGCCGAGACCCACCCCAAAAGGAACATCACACCCCGGGCGAACGCCAGAGGCACCCTGGAAAGTATGCATTTCTTTATCACAAGAAACATCAACTCTTCAATCAGGTCTTCCTCCACCCAAACTCCAAGAGTCTTGCAGTTCAGAAAAGTGACATAGATAAAAATAACATTGAAATACATTGAATAACACAGCCATGTAGCATGAAGTCACCTAGAACATCAGTTGAATTTCTGAAGTTATGAACTCATGATAACTCATGGCCCATGACCTCCAATCCATCATCAGCATCTCAACTGATTTCAGGTGTGCCTGGAGCTTCCACCCCCCAGCCGCCCTCACACTTCGCCCACCGCAGCGCGAACCGTCGCCGTTGCCACCGCTGGAGCCGCCGTTGCCACGCGCGCGCCCCAGAGGATCAGCGACATCCGTGGGGCGTCGTCGGGTTCGCAGGCGCTCGGTGAGTTTGGCATCACCTAGTGGCGGTGCCCGGCGGTGATGCAGGGAAGAGACCCCCAGAGTTTGTGGAAAATATGTGTACTTTGGTTCTTTTGACCTTAAGGATTGCCGCCAGCAGTTACACAAAAAGGACTGGTAAATACTGGTAAAGACTTTGTATCTCGGATTTTTTAGTAGCGTCCTTGTTCCTAGTATATAGTAAGGCCAGGAGCCCCTAGTAGCGTTCTTGTTCCTAGTAGCGATGCCCTTTGCTCCTAGTAGTGAATGTATTTGATATGTTGGCGAACTCTCAATGGCCAATTTGGATGCGCTCAACAACTTTACGACTTCTCTGAGCCTCCAAGACTTGCCTGTGCACAATCTCTGATTCACATGAAGCTTGCAGTGGTAGATCCCCCTCTGAACTGGAAATGGAGGAGCTCACACTGGAGAATGTTTGTCCCTTGCTGCTAACCCCTGATGTATGACCAACTAAGAAGCCAAGAAGATGCAAATGGAGTGCAATGACCTGTATATAAATTAAACTAGCCCCCCACTCCAGGAATATGTAAAAACAATATGTCTGCTGTGAAATGTTTCTCCATGTTTCTCCTGTTCCCTGACCCCCCTCAAAAACAACTTGCAAATGCAGAAGGGAGAAAAGACCATCAGCTGCTGCGGGCAGGTTTCTCAAAACAACTTTTTTGTAGTCTCGCAATTTCAAAAACCGCCAGTGCACCCTCAGGATACAATTGAGGCAGTACAAAGGAAGAAGTGTTGACCAAAACCATCCACTGGTGTACACTCTGACTCACTAACATGGAAGTGGATGGCATGGCCCCTGTGAAGACCATGAACTCCTCTACAAACAGGTGGTGAACTCCATTTCCATGTGATGTGTTCGTCGGAGTCGGAGTGTATCTTCAGTTCATTACATGTGATTCACCACTTACACGGTGATCAGTCAAAACAGTGCTGTGGAGGACACGGATCCTTGACTCAATCAAGTGCATGTAAGTGCCCCATTGTTGACATGGGTGTTTCACACCGTGACACAGCACCCCTCCGACAGAGTCTGGGTTCCGGTTCCACCCTCCTTCCAAACCAACATGGACCCTGAAAACCACTCCCTGGAAGATCATGTTTTCTCAATGTTCCTCTACAACCAAGTGGCTTTGAGCCTCCAATGTGGTCCTTTTTGCAGGAGGGACAGTTCCTAAACTGAGCGCCTGCGCCTCGTCACCGACACCGCCTCCCTCGTCACGTCCAAGAGGCCCTCGGCACGCCGTGCATGAAGACCTCGTTGAGCTCGGGCGTGAAGGCGAAGACGTCGCCGTTCCGTTGAGGGAAGGACCTACTGGCTCGCCCGGTGTTCTGGTGTGTGTCGTGCTTGGGTGCAAAGAAGGACGGTAGGGTTCTGAGAGCCAGGCATGGACCTTCATTGAATATTCAATATGAACCTCGAAGCCTCTAGAACTATATATACTTTATTCTTATCTATTCCATATTATTCTCATCATTTTGGGTCTGTTCTTTGTGTTCTTGAGAACTGTATTAGCTTTGGATCGCCTTTGGGGGTGTCGCTTTGTGTTCTGGTGAGGCCAGGCTCCCATATCTCCAAACTCAGCGCGGTTTCAGGAAAAATCCTACTTGAGGCCAGGGGGGGTGAACGAAAGCTAGCCACTGCCGTTTGCGCGGGTTACCAAAGCAGGGTTGGTGGGATGAGATTTTGATAGGAACCACGGCATGGGGGTTGGTAGGAACCATGGCACGGGGGTTGGTAGGAACCATGGCATGGGGGTTGATAGGAACCATGAGTTTCATCCATTATCCACTGAGCTATTCCTTGACGAGATCTTGGATGCAGCTGCTCCATTGCAAAATGAGCATGAGCTTCTGGTTGTGAGGGGAAGTGGTGTCCCTGGGAGCTGGGTGGATGGCCATCAGGATTGAAGACCATGAGATACCATGAGATTGTGTGATTTTAGTTTGGTCTTGTTGTTCATGGCATGGGTTGATGCGATTTCAACATCAGGCTTTTTAGTGGGAAACCATGGGAGTCATGGTCCAACAGCATAGAGTTGCAATAGATCAAGGTCGGGCATAAGCAAATCAGAAGCAGGATCATTAGCTCAGATTGCAATGTTGGCCTTGCTGATGATGAGTGGCATTAGAGGCACGGGCATGGTGATGGCATACTGGTATACTATGGGAAAGTGTTCATGAGGCAACTGGATGAGAAGGTTAGGCTGCTGGATGGGAAGCTCATGGCCATCTCCACGAGAGCATCAAACCACTCATCAAACCCCGTCACACTCAGCCAGTAACGACGCCGCCAGTGGGAGTTGAACCTGCGGAGGGGGGGTCCATTACTCTGAGGTCTGTGAGGTTGCCTTCCACCCTCTCAAACAACTTGCTAAAGCAAGAGCGACTCCAGCTAGCTGAGGCTAGCTTTCGTGATCAGTGAAGCTATTCATGACGAATTCGCACAGGTGAAGCTTGCTCCGCCTTCCTCACACCTTTTACGGATACCCTTGACAAAACCAAGTATTTGTCCACTCCCCTCACAGTTCCATCAATGAGACCCATTGAGACCTGCAACTGGCAGCCACATGAGACCTCTTTTCAAAGCAATCGTCGTCCAACTCCGCTGTGATTGGGGCCAGCTGGACCAGCAAACGAGGAAATCGACTCTTGAAATGGGGCCGCCCTCCTCCTTCAAAGCTTTGGGATGAGCAACGCTCGCTGGGGCGACTTCTCTGTGTGCCTTGAGGAAACAAATGAGAACAAAAGGATTTTGAGGACACCACGGGCCAACTGCCCGGTGGTTCCGTCAGCTATGCTCATCCAAAGCCAAGAGGAAGTGTATGGAAGATCACACGTCTTCAGGTCTTGCTGAAGAGGTACTCATCAGGGAGGTCAGCAAAGCCAGCCATTCTCCGAGAGACTTTTCGCTTCATGAGACGTGGTGCCTCTCCGCTTCTACCAACTCTTCACATGAACCATGAACTCGTCCTTGCCATTGCCTTACTTGAGGAAGGAAGAAACGTTTGCACATGAACATGTCCCATATCAGACCATGTTCTGCTAACCTTGTTCCACCAACGTCTGGCGTTCTTCTTTAGGACTCATGGACTCAACGGTTCGGCAGGGCGCTGCTGATGTCCATGGTCACCTTATTGCCATAGGTGATGTCTTGCCCTGGCACCATCTCAAAGCACAGGTGCCGCAAGAGCTCCACGGCCAAGGTCTTAGCCTCAAACAACGCCATGTCCATACCTGGGCGACAGGAAAAAGCATGGTCACATCGTGGTCAAACGTATGCATGGCGTATGCACCCTACAGTCTTGTATACGTCTGCCCTATATAATATCAATGAGTTCGATTCTAGTAGTCTAGCCATGCTGAAGATACTGAAAAGTGCCTCAATAGGCGGAAGAACGCAATGCAAAAAAGGTGAACTGCCCGGTCTGTGCCACGAAGCGATACTTAAAATCATATCTGAAAGAATCTACACGTCACTGCGTGATACGGTTATCATTGTTGTGCATTTTAAACAGCAGCATGTCCAGTACCAAACATGATCGTGGGGAGGGGGCGACAACATGATCGTAAGGTGCTGCGACGCGCCCGCGCTTGCATGGTCAAAGTCTCATCAACCTTGTGGATTGACCATGGTCGGCTATGGGTTCAAGCCAGTGGACCGACCACCGACAACGAACTGATTACCAGCCAGGTCAAGCTACCAGGGTTTGGCAATCGAATTCCGAATCACTTTCACCTCACTCTTCGGTCTTCGTACGATGGATCTACACTTAGGGATGCATGCCACGAGCCCTGAAAAACCCCGGCCTTTTCATGGCGTTTTCACGTCGTTTTCACATCTTCACCAGTCCGAGATGTCCATCAAACCTGCTTCATCCACCAGTCCGATCTGAACCCTTCCGGACTTCCAAGAGAGGTTGAGAGACCATATCGGACCCTGTAGTGGTACATATGGGATGGGCTTTAGTATAGGGCTGTTCAACCATGTTCAACCTATCTTGGTTAAAGAAGAATCCCGAAGCCATGGCTTCATCCGTTCCAATCTCTGCCTTCATCCGTTCGATTCGATGTTGAACACCCAGCGGCCCAAGCAAATGCGCGGACCAGCTTGGAAGACCGGGAACTCGTGCGGCGCTGGTGGCCTCGAGCTTAAGAAAACCCCGGACATGGAAGGTGTTGGGACTCGTTAGGCCCTCTAAACAAACCCAGTAGAAACTGTTCATGAGAGCTGTTGGAACCCTAGGGTTTGGGTTAGTAGACCTGGAGCTCTTCACCAAGAATTCATGAGTGGATGTCACTTCCGGTTGGCTTTGGGCATCTGCTCCTCAAAGGGACTGTGACTGCTATGACCCAAACTCCGGCACCACCCCACCTTACACATGGAACCCACAACTTTGAGGCAGAATCACTCCGAAGGTTTCCACTCCAGTTTGCATGGAGTTGTTTACTGTAATGGTGTTTGAATGTTTTTAATATACCCCCCAAGCCAGTCCATGTCCCACATGGTTCAATCCAGTCAATACCGGCCCTTAAACACCTTCAAGCACTCCTGCAACACCTCTGGACCCCTGTAGGTTCTTGTATTATTGTTCTATTTCTTTCCGTTGCTCTCTTTTGCACCCCCCCAAAATGCCAAGAACCACTTCGTTTCATACCGTTTCATCGTCTCTTTGCTTCCATCGCGGCGTGAAGGGGATCCATCGCTCTGGGCGGAAGTCCAAGGGCTCGGGATAACGCTCCGGGTCGCGGCCCATGTTGTAGGGACCTCGGGTGGTCGGGCACGTTCTCGTTTCCGGCACGATTGCCTTGGATTCGGAATCCGAGCTCACCACAAGCTCACCATCCTCATGAAGAGAAGAGCTCACCGGCAGGCTAGGGAGGCTAGGGAGGCTATGGCCGGCTATGCACAAGCCCCCGAAATCCTTGGAAAGGAAGGGCCACGAGTAGTTTTGACCAGCTTGAAGCCATCTTGAAAAGGGTTGTGTGGCACAGCCTGAGTCGTTGGGACTCTTAGAGTCGTTGGGTTGAGGGAAAACGACACGTCGTCACACTCCACCTCGTCACGATGACCCGAAGCCATCCGAAACTCGATATATGAAACCACTTAAACATATTTTTGCCCATGTTCACTCTCATCTTCATCCAAAGTCCATGCCCTCACATGCCGCCAAGCCCGACCCAAAAGCCTCCTCCTCCTCCACCCCCGAGAAAAACCTGACCCGGCGAGGCACTGAACAGAACCTTCGCATATTTCGGCACGGCCCATCCGCCTGGGAGCACGTCATCTTCGTAAGCCATCTTGGGGTCGCTAGGCACTGGAGGCCAAAGCCGCAAGGCCTCCTGTGGGTCGGGTGCTGTGGACTCGAGATCGATCTGGGCTAGACCGACATCGAGCGGGACAACAAAGCGAAGGAAGAAGTGTCATAGAAACGGGTGACGGAACAAATGAAGGGATCTTCATGCGAGATTGTTTTGTCTTCTGTGTCTCTACTCCTTTCAATTATGACATGTTCTTTTCAGTCCGGGCAATGATGCGTGATGCTAGCTTTCCACCTGAGACCAGCAACATCGCGCCCTTTTCTGTGTTCATTCCAAGGGGCATAAAGCACGCCGTTGAGATATGGCATCTCACTGGCAGAAAGGCTCTTCCAGTCCGGAACGCTGCCTTTTGGATGTTTTTGCATGATCTCTTCATGCAGCCGCTTCTGGATCTCAGGGTTTCGGGTGAGTTCGTAGAAGGTCCAGGACAAGAGGCAGGCCGTCGTGTCCCTTCCAGCCTTGGGCAGGTCAACTAGCTGATGGGTTCTCCCCCCACTTTCTCAGCCTCCTCAAAGACTCAGTGTTGTGGTTTGATGACTATCACCCAAGAAACAAAAAAACAACATCAAACAGGTAAAGTTGAGTTGCTGGATCCCTCAGCATGTATCTTCAACTCATGTGTGTCTGCCCAACAGGAATGGATGGATGACAGGGTCTTCCCTAAGCCCGCGGCAATGATGAGGTGCAAGACCATCTGCTTGGTGAATTGTGGGCTGAAATTCCCTTGCAGGAAGAGCGCCAGCAAGTCCCTCCGCTCCGCAAGCTTGGGATCTTCTAAGCACTTCTTCACCAATCTGTCTGCCTCGGCATCCACGATGCGGGTGGATGCCTTCATTAGCCGATAGTCTGCCGAACTGAAGTCCCAAAGAGCGCGAGCAAGTCCTCAACTAGACAGTAAGTGAGACTCAGGAGCTGTTGCAACGAAGACGAAGACGACAACATACTCCTACTTACTGCTGTTGCCGCTGCTACACACATTCAAAACAAGGAAACGCCAAAATAAACACCCTTAAGACATATATAAGAAACGCACACATATAATATTGAGACACATCATATTGGTGATTGGTGGAGTGCAAGCACATGAAACACCACGGTCTTCCGGCATTCTTTTCGATGAAACCACCCCCTCAGCCACCACCGGGCCACTGCCAACCCGCACCGCGAACCCACTGACGCCGCAACCACGGGACGTCAAGTACAAGGCACCTCCCTGTGTCCCACCGAAGGGCCACGGTAGAAAGGTGCTGAAGAGCAGGTACGGTGTGACGGACTTAATGCTGTGCCGCCGAAAGCATGCCGAGGCCGTATCAAAGGCCTGCGGAGCGGGCGGCGAACACCGGCGGGGTGGTGTCGTTGTTGACGGTGTCTTCTTTTTGGGGCAACTGGCAAAGGTTGGACATGGATGAACATAGGGAGAGAAAGTGGAGGTCCAAAAGAGGAGTTCGAGATTATGAAGCTGATATAAGGATTATATAGGGACCCTTAATGGTTCATGGGGTGTTCTGTCATCTCACCCCTAGTGAGATAATGCTTTATGGTCCAAAAGAATGTGCTCTAACACTCTAACAGCTGCCGACTCTGTCAAAGTCATGCCTACAACCCGAAGCAGATTGCTTCCGGTTGACACACATTGGAACATACAGTAGGACCTCTGCCCTTCATGCATGATATATATTATCTTCCCCTGCCTCCGTTTTGTGTTGCGTCTTTCGGGGAGTTGGACCAAGGGCTGCTTCCAATAGGCCGCTCCTTCCCGCGAAGGGCACTCGTGCCATGGTCCCTACGTTTCAACTGGCCTTGCCATATTGGTTTGGCACGCCCTCCGCAGTGTGAGAGTCTTCGCCGAAGAAAATACTCATGATGCTGTCGAAGGTGTAGTTGAAGAAGCACGCCTGGATGATGATTGTGCTGGCTTTCCCATCAGGATGAGGGGAAGAACTAGACTTATACAAAGCACGTACAAGTATAGTTGTACAAAGCATTTATAGAATGTACATACAAACAAAACACTGTTTAGACACTGCTACAAGCATGTAGACATTGTTATAAGTACATGTTATAAGCATTGTTTAGAATGAACACCGGACCAAACAAAGAGCGGCGTGGCCTGGAGGTCCGTGGCACCAGAAGATCTTTGTAGAAACTTTCCTGGGCAAGGCACTGTTCGGTGATCTTGGACTTCCATTTCATGAAGCCTCAAAGAGGCCGAAAAAGTTTTCACCGCCCACCTGGGCTACTGCCCTGTTTTGGGCGCCAGCCTCACCCATCTGTGGAAGGGATGCCCACCCAGCAGCGAAGCCAACAAAAATGCAAAACATCACCCAACGCACCGAGACGGCCCGTTTTCTCCGAGACGACCATCAAAGCCAACGGCTGGCTTCAAACAACGGGCCTAGGTGCTGAGCATCACGGCCTTGGACACAAAGACATCTTGCATCATGCCTTGGGATTTGCGGCTGTCCAGGAACCTGGAAAACATGTTTTAAAAAAGAAACAAAACACTTCCCCAGAAGGGGGTTTAACATGATTAGCCATAGGGAAAGTAAACCATCATAAACATCACCTTAAGCAAAGTTAATTGCAAAGCCCAGGATGCTGTTGAAGTTCTTGCGCGAGAAGATCTGTGCCGAGACCTTTCGCATTTGGCTCCACTCTTGACCACCATCTGTGGAGCCGACACCATGCTTCACCACGAAAATGCCCTCCCCCAGAAATTCCCGGAAGTAGAACGCGAACGGGTCTAGCTTTTCCTCCGCTTTGCTGTACTTGTTGAACCTTAGCTTCTCAGGGACCTATTGTTTTATATCTCTTTGATTTCAGTAGGTTGAGTTGTCTTCAATCGTCTATCTCCATGTGCCCAGGGAACTCATCCTTCAGGATGTGCTTCACGATGGCTGCATCATTGGCAATCAAGTTGTAGGCCCCAGGCGTCCAGGAGAAGCCCAAGAATTTGGCGATGGGAAGCCCTCGACAGATCTCCTCTTCAGGACGGAGAAACCCGACCACCCACACGTCCCTCTGCCATGGAGAAAGAAGAGGTTGGAACATCTTCAAATCAAGCCACCAAAGTTTCATGACATATAAATATTATACCAGGACCTTCCAAGAGGTGTCTATAAATAGCCTCTTAGAGGTTAAGAGGTGGCCAAAAACCACCTGTTGGAAGGTCCTGGTATATAATATATATATATATATGCCAGAATATGCCAGGGCCAAAGGTTCGCCCATGCTACTCTGTAGCGCACCACTGAAATACACACAAAACAATGGTCCCGGCTTGAACAAATCAGTTCCGGTTGGAGCGAATTTGGAGTTCCGACGAACCCGAGCGGTCCAGGCGCCAGTCATGGGAGCGGAGCATGTTCGCCTTCAAGTCTTTGAGCCATCCCATGGGCCGATCATGTCCCTCTCCCTTGGTCGCGGGCATATCCTTTAGGACTTTCTGCATACGGGTGGCTTGCCGCCAGCCAGACCAGAACTGGTAAACGACCTGGGAAGCATGGAGAAACAAACACCTTGGGAGAGGCGCGTCAAAGGCACCAATGAACATCAATGAACAACTTTAGATTGATGGATTCTGACGGCAAAACAACGAACAACATCAATAACTCTTAGCTCCATCTTTTTACCCATTCTTGCATGAGGTGCTCCCCCCACCTGAAGAGCTCCCAAAATGCCATATGCGACGAAACTCTTCAACCAAATGCCATGTTTCTCCTCATCCATTGCGATTCCTTCAGCTGATGTCACCGGCCAAGAAACCGGCACCCACCAGTGTGAACCACACAGCAGGAATCTGCACAATGCGAGCCAAAGCTTGAACCAAGAAGCAAAGGAATGGTTCAATCGTGTGGGGTGGGAAGGGGAGGACCTGGTATCAACCGGTGTGTGGATGGAAAGACACTGGTGACGATCTGGAAGGTTTGGGCAATAGAGTTGGGGTTTCAATGCTTAAACCATTACAGTAAACTTGGGCCTGTCCAAATACCTGCAACCTGTCCGAATACCCGCAACAGTCAGCAAACAATGACCGCCATTTTAGAGAACGTCCTTTACTGGCCATCATAATCATCATCCACTGTTACTGGTAATGGGATATCCACCCAACTTACTGCAAACCTGTGATGAAAAGGGAGCATTCTGCGGTGACAAAAGGCTATTATGATTGTTACATATGTGTTTTTTTTGTAGGATTCGAGGCTGCCGTCCCTTGCCAGCGATCTATACCATGGCACGGCCTACATCCAACGTTACGGCGTGATGACAGCTGCCACATCCTAGCGCCCTGGTCATGCTCATGGTTGTGAGGTTAGCGGGACAAGAACAATACATTCAACCACCTGGCACTGGAGGTCATCAAGCAGCGCTCCAAACGACTTGAACTGAATCATAAAGACTCGCGCTGGCTCTCTTCGGGGCTCCTAATGCAAAAGCATGAAACAGCCACCACCCTCCAAAAGGTGTTGAAGTACCTTTCTTGAGGGGTCAATCGTGGTCAAATCGAATGGAAAAACGTGGAAATCCTCGGCTTCACTCAGTTCACAACTCATTCATCTCGACCCGAAATAACCTCATTGAACAGTCTGGTCCACTGATTCCGGCACCGAGTTTTTGCCCAGGAACATAGTCACACCAGACTTCACATGCATCAGGGTGAGCTCTCGCGTGCACCCAAAAGATGCACCCACCGTGAGCTGTGGGACGCCCTCCGCGTCACTGCCACGGTCATAATGCAGTGGCTTGTAGTCCTGCAACCCAGGGGCCAAATAGAACATCATGAGTCTGAGCATGTCTGAGACCAGTAATTACAGTACATGATACAGACTCATGAGAGTAGTCTTGTAGTCTCACCATCTGAGCATTTCAGGGACCTATGAGATGGTCATCCACCAGCCTGAAGAACATCCATCTCGCCAAGCGCGGTCTCCGAAGGTGAAACGCTGTCCGTCCAGACCGTCAGACCATCAGCTTCATACTTGCATCAGGAACCTGGAAACCCATATATCCATGGGGAAAACTATCATACAACCTGGAAACTAATATATTATAATATATTTACGATATTTAACATCTTCCCCAGAAGGGGGTTGAGCCATAGGAAACATCAAGAACATCACCTGATCCTCGAAACCAGGGGTTGGCCTGTCTTCGATGATTTCTTCGCATATGACTGCCTCACTAAATTCACACACACAAACTCTCAGGGCTGCTCTGACCAGCATTTTTTGCAAACAAGGTCTGAGACAAGCTTCTTCCAAAGAACCAGTCGTCTGCGTGTTCGTGCCATTTCTCAGTTGGTCCAATGGACCATGTGATGCGTGGTGAGTGGGCAAACACCAAGCTGGTGAGAGCTGAAGACCCAAAAAAGGCGCCCCCTCAATACATCAACAACTAATTTAGGACTAAACATTGATTGAAACAGCTCCTCATAGAGGGGGTTCATGAGGGGTTAAGGACTCAACATGTAACACCCTCTCATGGATTGAAACACCTCCTCATGATTCCTCAAGAGTCTGCAGTTCACATATTCCACTGCTATTGCAGGACCTCACCTCCTCCACATGCAGTCGCTGCACGTGCAGTCCGGATGCACCGAATCCGTCGGATCCCACCGGAGGACCTTGTTGGAGCGATAGATGTTCAGCCGCACAGCCGAAGCCTTCACACCGAAGGCTTTCCTGGGTGGAGGTGGCCAGTGGTGACCACTGGCCCACTGCTCTGCCTTATTGGGACCCCCCTCCAACACACATCAAATACAGTCAAACACAATGAGGAAGTTAGATTTGTATTCTCTCCGTGAAGTCTACTCACTGACATCAGCCAAAGATGCGCTTTCCAAAAGCATCCATTTACAGCGTTCAAAGGTGACAAAACACCTGAAGGCTCGATCTCCCTCCATGCCCTGTCGCTCTTGATTTCCTACTTCACTCCTTCATACCCTTCTCATCCCCCAAATCACCACTCTAAGCGGAACTTCTCCACTTCTCAGCCTGGGTTCTCCATTTTCTGCACCAGTTTCGCACGCAAGGACTCTTCTCCAGGCTCCAAGCCCTTCTCAAACTGTAAACCTGGCAGGGGTTGCCACCAGGATCCCCCGAAAGCCGGTCAATGATAAGGTCACAGCCACTTGGCTAACAGAGAGTTGTCTAAAAAAGGGGGAGCACAGCTCGCTCAGCAGCTGAGAACAAATGCATTCGATCCAGGACTGGATCTCTACCGTCCCCCAAGTATGTTAGTCGATAGATTCGAGTAGGGTGACACATGTTTGGTTTATTTTTTAAAATATATACAGCGATCCATATATATAAATAGAGAGAGGGAGACAACAAAGAGAAAGAGAAAGAGCAGTAATTAATAAACATAAATACGTATATATATATATTCCAACACCAGCTCCCCCAAAAAACATTTCATGCAGCCAATGCCCAGTCTTTCAAGAAAATTCAAGAAACTGATTCCAGTCCAGTTTCGTTCCAATTGTTTTGATCTAGTCACGAGGGTTTGGACCCACTTCGGCCAGCCCTTGTCTTCCCACATCAAGGACGCCCACTGAGGCGCCTAGGTGCCGCGCGCCATGCCAGTCCGACATGACCTTGCCCTCAGTCTCCAACTCCAACTGCAAGGCTGCCATCACGGACTCATCTTCCGCATCGCACAGGAAGCTTGGGAGGAAGTATGCATCCTCACGAGACAAAACGAATGCCACCCCGAGGCGCGTCCGTGGAAAGAACCTCCAGCCATGCAAGAACATGTCGCTAATACCCGGCCCTAAGGGTCCGGGCCAAATCCAAGAAATCTCAAATAGGATCGGTAACGCCTTTCAACATGGCTTTAATATAGGATTTGAATAGCCGTCAAAAAGCAATGTTAGGCAGTGCACGCTGAGCTTTGGTGACGTTTGTTTGGTCATTTTGGGTGTGGAATTAGATGGTGTAATAAGTGCAATAGCGTGGCGAGGCGTTTTATTTGGCAGCCTTGGGATACGTTGGGAAAGTCTAATAACATCTCTAATAGGATCGTCTATATAACTCTCGATCTCTATATATACACATAAATACAGTGGGTCTATCCCAATACCAATAACAGCGCATGATGATTGTTTATCGACTGCTACAGGTTTAAAAAATGAACCTGATCTAATCCAATGATACATAATTGAGCTCACCATCCTGGGTCCTACATTGGTCCTACCATTCCTTAAAACTAGAGCCTGTAGGCGCTTTTCTAGGGATTTTTCTCAAGTCCTTGGTTGCCTGGTGCAGTTGCGGCTTTCGTGTGGTTTGCATGTATGATCATGTATGAAACTACATTCAGATTTGCAAACAGCCTTGCAATTGACCACTAAAATTACTGTATCTGAAATTACTCTGCTGGCACCTTCTGATTCTTCCATTAATATCTATTTTCCTGAAGTTCTCGGCAGTAGCAACCCCATCCCCAAACCCCTCATCCCCACCCCCTCTCCTCAGCATGCACACGCACCAAACCATCCGGCCCCACCGGCGGTGGACACGTAGCGACTCGAATCGACGGCCACCACCAGCCGCAGCGCTCCCAGGCGTTCCAACACTCCTGGCGTTCCGCGTTGGCACCGCGTTCTGCGTGTGTTCCACCCGGGATGGACGCTGCGGTGGAACGGAGAAAACCCCGTCCCAGGCGCCGGCGCATTCCGGATGAACCTTGGGCTTTCAGACTAGCATAGACTATAGACTGTTAGAAGTTCGTGTTTTCGGTGCGAAGGATCGCGGTGACAAAACTACGACGAACATCTGGCCGTTCGTGGATCGAAGAACTCGAATCACGCCGATGTGGTGCCGTGCCTGCACTTCTTGCCCGGTGTTAGTCCCGGTGTTTGGTGAAAGCAGGTTCACTCTCAACCTCGGAGGCGAAAAAACATCTAAAAAACACATAAAGACAGTAAAACACCACGGCTGCCATTTGTTGAAAGCTCGTTCGCCCGCTCCTGGCAGTACTTCTGCCCACGCTCGGCAAAGCTGCGGCCCTTGACCACCTGGTCAGCAATGCATGGAGAACGTTTTGTCAGTTCTCGTCAAGTGCTGCCGTAGAAAGCTCACAGCTCTTAAATGGACAAAGCCAGTCAGGACATGTCAAGATACGTTCATCATCTTGCGAACTGCAGCGTCCACAGCCCACAGATGCCCACAGCCCTTCTGCACGCCTCCTCGCTGCCACAGGAGTCGCATTTCACCGCCTTCAGCGCCCCGCAGCCCAGCGCCTCTGCCGTGTGTGAGGCTGCTGCGAGTGCCTCTGCATCAGGTTCAGAGGCAGAGGTCGACTGCTCCGAGAGGTGCAGATACTGCAGGGAGGTGCTGGGGCTCAACATGGCAAGCGCAGAACCCCTTCTCTGAAGCAAGTCGTCTTTCTTCTTTTGCGACTTTGGACGCTTGGAGGGTAGAGCTCAAAACACCTCTCAGGCGTTGTTTTTGTTGAAATCAGCGTGGCCCGACTTGTGGCGAGGCAGCCTCAATCCAGTAACTTGATGCTGATAGACGCTGACAAAGGGGCTACTATATACTGAGATCTGCTGAGTTCTGGTTATACAATCCATGGAGTATGTTGAAGGCATGTTGTAATTGATGTATGGCTGAATCATGAAGAAGTCAGCCAGCTGCTAGATAAACCTGACGAAACTGGAGGAACTTCAAGAATCATGGTTGAGTTGCTGCTTGAGAAAAATGGCTACTGGATGAAGGAAGCCTGGCCTCAGTTGACAAGGTGAGAATGGCTAATTTGGTGAGCTCGTGGATATATGTATATATAGTTATATATATAATATGTAGAGTGAGAGAGAGCCATATTTGAACATTTTGTCACCGAAAGGAGACCAAAGTTAAGTCAAGGGTTCATCTGCACAAACTGCCCTGGCATGTGCTGAAACATATTGAAACATTATCTTCCATGACGTTCCATGACCAGCAACTACCAAATACCAAATTGGTGGAAGACTACAATTTTGCTAAAACAAAAACTGTTATCCCCCAGACGAGAAATCCATAGAAATTCAGAAACCACCAGGATAAGTCCAAAACAGACTGAGTGATTCTTTCAGATCCTCGAACAAGCAAAGGTCTATTTTGCTTTGTGCTGGGCTCCTTGGGCTTCCTAAGACCTCGCATTTGGCCAATCAATGAGTATCAAGGCACTCCTTCTGCCTGATCCCACACACATCTACGTCAGGCTGTTGGTTGAAGATGGTTGAAGTAAAAAAGGAAACGCGTCCTTGACACATGCGCAAGGACCAGCAGTATCATGCAGTTCCCCACATGAGCGCCACTGAGATCACTGACATCACTTGGAACCTAATCCTCCCGCACCTCACATCTCTCTCTCATGATCTTGTTTGGCTCCCCAGCCCGTGAGCGAGGGCAAGGAGCCTGAATGGCCCATCTGCCTCAGGAGAGTCTGCTGCAAATTTGGGAGTTAGGGTGGTGGTCATGGTCGTGTGGCTGGGGACGATACTGAAAACTGAAAACCAAGAACAAGCAAACATCTGCCTGGTGTTTCACCACTGACGGCACTGGCCCGGCGGCCCAACACCACTTGTCAAAATTCCAATCTGTGCAACTATCTACACGCAACACTGCTACTGTCAAACAAATTAATGCAATAAAATCAAAAACAATAGTGCCTCTTGGAGTTCCAAATCTCCTTCTCAAGTCGACCTCCTTCTCACCCAGTCACCTTCTTCCCTTCCCTTCTTCACCACCTGTCCCAGGCGCTTCTTCGCCACCAGGGTCCTTTGACCGCCGATGCTCTTGAACTCCGAGACCTGACCATCAACCGATTCCGGCGCGGCCGGGCGGAATCGAAGGGCCCGGTGCTGGAGCTGAGGCCAAGCTGAGTCAGTGGTGAGCCGGGACCGTCAGTGGGACTGGGGTGGGTGCGAGGCTCCAGTCGTGCCGGCTGGAGGAGGTACGGCTGGATTTGTAGGATTAGATGCTAGCTACCAGGACCTTTGACAGTCGTGACAACACTTCAGGAATTGGCTACTCGTGACCTTTGACAGACCAAAGTGAATTCTAAGCTATACATCTGGGATATATGAGGTGGCTGGTTGCTGTAGGGGGGCTGGGTGATAGGGGCATGTTCTTGTTTCAAGAGGTCACAATGCGAGGTGCCAAAATCTGCTACATCAAGCACGTTCTGGTGAAAGCACGATCTAACGCCTGCACAAAGAAGAGTCTAGTACTGATCCACGGTATAAAGTCTTTAAACATCTTCCTATCCCATCCCCAACAATCAATCCA